AAGCTAGGAACCTTGATAAACAATTAGAGGAATTGCTAATTAGAATAACTAGTTTAGAGAGGAAGATAAACGACCTGATGGAGCTGAAAAAGCGTGAAAACTTAGTGAAGCATAAAGTATCAACAGCTAGATAGACCAAGTGGAAGAAAGGATATTTCAGTAAGGTGGTTTGAAGACCGCCTTACTGAAATAAGACATGCAGACAAGAATAGAGAAAAAAGAATGAAAAGAAATAAAGCCTCCAAGAAATATGGGACTTCATAAAAAGACCAAACCTACAATTGATTGGATTATCAGAAGGAGATGGGGAGAATGGGAACAAGCTGGAAAACACACATCTGAATATTATCCAGGAAAACTTCCCCAACCTAGCAAGACAAGCCAACATTCAAATTCAGGAAATACAGAGAACACCATTAAGATACTCCACAAGAAAATCAACCCCAAGACACATAATCACCATATTCTCCAAGGTCAAAATGAAGGAAAAACACACAGGCTCAAAATAAAGAGATGGAGGAAAATTTTCCAAGAAAATGAAAAGCAAAAAAAACTGGGTTTGCAATCTTAGTCTCTGACAAAATGGACCTTAAACCAACAAAGGTCAAAAAAGACAAAGAAAAGCTTTACATAATCATAAAGGGAACCATTAAACAAGAGATAACTATTCTAAATACATATATGCACTCAATACAGGAGCCCCCAGATTCATAAAACAAGTTCTTAGAGACCTACAAAGAGACTTAGACTCCCACACGATAATAGTGGGAGACTTTAACATCCCACTGTCGGTATTAAACAGATCAATAAGACAGAAAATTAAAAAGGATATCCAGTACTTGAACTCAGCTCAGGATCAAGTGGACCCAGTAGATGTCTATAGAACTCTCTACCCCAAATCAACAGAATATGCATTCTGCTCAGTGTCACATGGCACTTATCCTAAAATTGGCCAAATAATTGGAAGTAAAACACTCCTCAGCAAATGCGAAAGAACTGAAATCATAACAGTCTCTCAGACCACAGTGCAATTAAATCAGAACTCAGGATTAAGAAACTCACGCAAAACTGCACAATTTCATGGAAATTGAACAACCTGCTCCTGAATGGCTCCTGGGAAAATAGTGAAATTAAGGCAGAAATCAGAAAGTTCTTTGAAACCACTGAGAACAAAGAGAAAATGTACCAGAATCTCTGGGACACAGCTAAAGCAGTGTTAAGAGGGAAATTTATAGCACTAACTGCCCACATCAGAAGGCTGCAAAGAGCCCAAACTGGCACTCTAACATCACAACTGAAAGAACTAGAGAGGCGACATAGGCATAGGCAAGGACTTCTTGACTAAAACACCAAAAGCAATGGCAGCAAAAGCCAAAATAGACAAATGGGACCTAATTAAACTTAAGAGTTTCTGCACATCAAAAGAAACAATCATTAGAGTGAACCAGCAACCAACAAAATGGGAAAAAAAACTTCGCAGTCTACCCATCTGACAAAGGCTGAATATCCAGAATCTACAAAGAACTAAAGCAGATTTGCAAGAAAAAAACAAACAAACCCTTTCAAAAGTGGGCAGAGGATATGAACAGACGCTTTACAAAAGAACACATTTATGAGGCCAACAAACATATGAAAAAATGTTCATCATCACTGGTCATCAGAGAAACGCAAATCAAAACCACAATGAAATACCATCTCATGCCAGTTAGAATAGTGATCATTTAAAAATCTGGAGACAACAGATGCTGGAGAGGATGTGAAGAAAAAGGAACACTTATACACTGTTGATGGGAGTGTAAATTAGTTCAACCATTGTGGAAGGCAGTGTGGTGATTCCTCAAGGATCTAGAAATAGAAATTCCATTTGATCCAGCAATCCCATTACGGGGTATATATCCAAAGGACTATAAATTGTTCTATTATAAAGACACATGCACACATATGTTTGTTGTGGAAGTGTTTATGATATCAAAGACCTGGAACCAACCCAAATGCCCACCAATGATAGACTGGACAAAGAAAATGTGGCACATATACACCATGGAATACTATGCAGCCATAAAAAACAACTTCTTGTCCTTTGTAGAGACGTGGATGAATCTAGAAACCATCATTCTCAGCAAACTGACACAAGAACAGAAAACCAAATACTGCATGTTTTCATTCATAGGTGGGTGATGAACAATGAGAACACTTGGGCACAGGGAGGGGAACAACACCCGCTGGGCTAGGTGGGGGGTGGAGAGGAGGGAGAGATAGCAGGGAGGGGCGGGGAGGATGGGGAGGGATAATACTGGGAGAAATGCCTGACGTAGGCGATGGCGGGGTGGGGGGGTATGGAGACAGCAAACAACCATGGCATGTACCTATGCAACAATCCTGCAGGATGCATGATGCGCACATGTACTCCAGAGCCCAAAGTACAATAAAAAAGAAAGAAAGTAAAAAAAAAGAACAGTCAGGGAACAACAGATGCTGGAGAGGCTATGGAGAACAGGAACTCGTTTACACTGTTGGTGGGAGTGTAAATTAGTTCAACCATGGTGGAAGACAGTGTGGCGATTCCTCAAGAATCTAGGATGAGAAATATCACTTGACCCAGCAACCCCATTACTGGGTATCTACCCAAAGGTATATAAATCAACATAAAGACACATGCACACAAATGTTTACTGCAGCACTGTTCACAATAGCAAAGATATGGAACCCACCCAAATGCCCATCGATAATAGACTAGGTAAAGAAAATGTGGTACATATACACCATGGAGTACTATGCAGCCATAAAAAGGCATGAGATCATGCACTTTGCAGGTCCATGGATGAAACTGGAAGCCATTCTCCTCAGCAAACTAATACAAGACCAGAAAACCAAATACCACATGTTCTCACTCATTAGTGGGAGTTGAACATTGAGAAAACATGGACACAGAGAGGGGAACAACACACACAACCCCCCCTGTGGTGGGGTTGGGGGCGACGGGAGGGGACTTAGAAGATGGCAGCAAACCACCATGGCACACATATACCTATGTAACAAACCTGCACGTTCTGCATATGTTTCCCATTTTTGTTCTTGTTTTAGAAGAAATAAAGAAAATTGTTACTTTAGAAAAAAAGAAAAGCCCCACCTTTCAATACTGCCACATTTGGGATTATGTTTCAATATGAGTTTTGGAGGGGCCATTCAAACCATAGCAGGGTGGAAACAGGGAGACCAATCCAAAGTCATTGCAATAATGTGGGTGAGCAAGGTGGTAGGTTGGTCTATAGTGGTAGCCACAGAGGTAATAAAAGGCGATCAGCATTGGGAGAAATAGATCACAGATACAGGCACAGATGAATAAAATCACAAGGAGATCACATTTTATTGACAACTGAATCGCTACCTATACATAGTTTTTTACAAACTAAAAATGGATAATATTAACTATACAAAGCCCATTAGCATTTACATAAAGTTACTTCAGCAAGTTCTGTAGGTTCATGCTAGGTAATTTAGTGAATATGGCAAACACAATCAAAGTTATTCAGCACCATTTCAGCTAAAAGTATCAGCTTTGAACACAGCTACACACACACACACACACACACACACACCACCACACATAATCAAACACCAACATTTCAAACCCAAAAAATCAACAACTAATTTACAAAATAAATACTATTTTTAAAAGTAGTAGTAGGAAAGTTAGGTTAAAAATCCATTCCTTGGAATTTTCCAGCTTAGATCCAGGAAAAATTAACAAATTGAGAATTTTAAGAAAGACTGCCATATTTTATTAAAGTTGGATGTGACTGCCCTTCACAATTAATACTACATGCATCAGAAAAGCATAATTTCTGGCTGTCAGAACAATGACTTCCTTGCTAGTTTAAACTATAGTTATACAGCTCTAAAGAAACATTAAAAATTTGAATAAATTGGTTGAAAACATGATTTTCTATTCAAATTAAAAATGCAAACCTGAATACACTGTTACTTCAAATAATTAAGAAATTGTATCCAGTCGTTAGCTAAGTAATGAGGCCAAGTCATTCCCAGTAACTTCCTGTGATACCAAAGGGAATACATTTTATCTCTAATGAAACACAGCTGGGTCTGTCATGAAATAGCAATGTGAAGGTGAACCCTTTGGCTTCCAAGGGATTTTATTTCCTCTGCTATAGAATTGAAGGACTTTGTTTAAGGTGTCTTACAAAGAATTCCTGCTTTGCAAAGACATGTTGGGTGGAGTAAGAAGTAAACTTTTTAAAAGGCATTTGGACTTTTATCTATCTGTACAATATCATAATTCAGAACTATTCCACACTGTTCTGGAAAAATTTTGCTTATAGAATGCAAACGTAATGACCGGTATTAAAAAGTCTGAAAATGAAGCATTAAAAAATGTGGTTTAAAAGTCTTTAAAGTACCTGTAATATTTGTGTTAAAACTGATGCACCACTACCAGTTAGAATATCCCACCTTTGAATTTTAAGAGCTAAGAATCTGAGCGGGGGGAAACGACAAGGAGACTGCATTATTCAAGCCATTCTTCTAAATATGCATTCAGTGCACACCAATTGAAGAGTAAACACCTTGAAATACTCCTAAGAAAGCAAAGAAAGTTTATTCCTTCTATCAAACACCATACAAAAACCACATTATCTACACACACACACACACACACACACACACACACACACAATCTTGAATCAATCAAACAAAATTAAAAAGACCATCATGACTAAAAATGCTCTATAACCCAGCATGTTTTCTGTGTTCCAATGCTGCATGTACATTCTGTCCTGTTCTAATTGGTTCTTTTCTCTCTCCATCACAAGCAGCACTTTGTGGGTTTCTAGTTGAGGGTCATTCCAGGTATTTTACAAATCCTACTTGCTTCAAAGTTACAAGGAACATCATTCCAGGCCCATTTATCTTGGTTATAAACAAGAACAACACAGTTTTCTCCCTGATTGTTGTTGGGTTCGTTCTCATGCCAGAATCTGAAAGAAAAACAACATACATAGAGATATATAGGTATATATAGATAATGTAGATTATAGATGTAGATTAGATATAGATATATTAGGAGACAAGTCAGAGAAATGTCCCTAGTGAACAGTTTAGACCTGCACTAATACTATAGTCACTAGACACTTGTAGCTACTGAGCACTTGAAATGTTGCTTCTCTGAATTGAAATGTGCTTTAAGTCTTAAGTACACACTGTATTTTGAAGAGTTAGTACCAATGAAGAATGTCAAACATCTCAGTAATAATTTTATATTGATCACATGTTGAAATGGTAAGATTTGGATATACTGGGTTACATACATCATTAATACATTAATAAAATACATTTCACTTGCTTCTTTTTACTTTCTCAATATGGCTACCAAAAAATTTTAAATTGCACATGTGGTTTTGCATTATATTTTTACTAAACAATATTGGCTTCAAGAAAAAAAAAACTGAGAAGGTTTTAATTCTAATTCAAAGACAATCTTTATTGCTTATATTGTTTATTTAAATGTCACACCTAAAACAATTTTTATATCACTTCCACGCTATTCATTCTTTCATTATTGACATTGTATAAATAAGAATACTGATAATTTCATGGAAATCACAGAACCATTCTGGAACTGGGACATAGCATATGGAGATGACTCAATCTACAGTGCTCTCTCCTGACATTTTTATATCAATGTATTCCACTTCAAAATGGATGTTTCTTGCTACCATCTTCTAACCTTTGCTCATAAATCCCCTTAGACCCACTCGATTTACTCACACTATGCGTGGGTTAAATGGCATCTGGTCCACCCAGCGCCACTGTCCTTCAGCGTTCTCATTTCTAAGTCCAAGGAAATAGGAAAACCGTCTATCCAAAAATTGAATAGTAAAGTTCTGCATAAAAAACAGAAATTTTAATATATTTGCATGAGTCTGGTGATGGCTATTATGTTGGAAAAAGAGGAAAGATGTCAACTAGTTTACTGGTTAAGCACAAAAGCTCTGGCATCAGGTAGATCTGTTTTCAAATCCTGCTTGTAATTTTAGTGCTTCAGTCTCACCAAATCCCCAGTGCTTTCATCTTCAGAAGGGACAACTCCAAATACTTCACAGAGTTACTATGAAGATTAAGTGAGGTCATACTTACAACCCTTTTAGCACAATGCTTAATAGGATTAGAATTTTAAGGAGGTTTTGTTTTTAATATCACCTTCTTTAATGGTGTGCATATTTCATTAAATTCCACTTTATTCAGAATCACTGAACCTATGGATTGTAAAGCTATGGAGACAAACTCCTTGAGGAACTATTCATCAAGAAAAAGTTAGGATCTGAGTCATGGTACATAAGCGGAAACATATTATATGAGGAAATAAATTTCAGCCTTTAAAGAATTTACCCTAATATTTCATTACTTATTGTTAGATCCATATATTTGAACTATTTTTCCTATACTTTATCCTAAGAAGCTAGTTCAGTCCTGATTAGCCATTCATTTATTCACCTACTAACCAAACACTTATCAAGACCTATCCAGTGTGCTTCACACTGCACAGGACGTTGGAAATGCAAAGGTGCGTAGAGCATGGTCCCAGCTCTCCACGTAGGAGGAGTCACCGAAAGAGATGGAGCAGTAAACACAGTTGTAGTGGAGTGGAGTAAATGCCATGATCTCATTGTGCACAAAGTCCCACAGAAGTACTGCCTACTTAGAAAAGGGAGGGGTAGAATGCAGAAGGTAGTTAGGGTAGCTTTCCGGAGCAGATAACATATGAATCTAATATAGAAAGGCCAAAAGAAGTTGGCCATAAGACAAAAAATTGAAGAGGAAGAAAGGGCTTTCCAGGCAGATGGAGCAGATGAAAACAGACAGAGGCATTGCAAGCAGAGAAATTCCTCTTTTTCCACAAAGAGATTCAAACCAGCAGAGAAACTGATGTGATCCTCCCAACACACCTGCTCAGCTTCCGTGCTGATGGTCATCAGATGGGCACTCATCCCTGAACAGTTCCTTTCACTCTCAGCCCACGTCTTGTTGTCAGTAAGAGGAAAATAGCAGCTGGACTGGAAGGCTCTCCAGCCAACAGGACAACAGTTCCAGGTGCTCCCTCAGGTGAAAATTAAAATGGAAATTGGTAACGAAAGAGCATTTCATCTGTAACAGATTGCGTAACTATTCCACTACCTAATACTCAATTTATATTTGTGAGAATAATATCAAGATTACCAAAATTATTCTGTCCTGCCAAAAGATCCTAAAAATTGCATTCCTAAATATCTTCTAAACATAAGTATTGGAAACCACGTAATGACTATAAGAAAATTATAAAACATTATCTTATAAAGCATAAATATTATTCAATGTTCCTACATCCGTTGACTTTCATATTCAAAGTGTTTCCATGACAAAGCTTTTGCAGGATATTTTACCTAAAGGGGGTAAAGAACCTACTAAAACTCAAGCACTCTTCCATTCTCCCAAATGAGATGACAAATTCTACAATAATAAAAGAAATAAAGACATGTCCGCAAAGCTATATATTCTAGGAGGAACCTGTCTTTATGATATATCTGAATCAAGGAAAAATTCAATTTGTTACATTTTGGATGTCAAAAAGAACCCATCGATCTGTTAAGCCATATTCTCCAGTTATTAACTGATTACAGTAATGAGAAATAATTCTATCTTAATGTATTGTTAGGTACTCCTATGCCAGATTCTCGTCTTATGCTATTTTAATCCTTCCTGGTTCACTATTGACATTCCTTAAGTCAAATTATGAATTTCAATGAAAATGGAAATTAAAAGAGAAATTCTCTTATGCTCTCTACCTTCAGCACTTTTCAGTTCTGATTTCTCTTTGATGCAAGTGAGCTTTGCATGGTGCTCTAACTTGTTCACTCCTGTGCTTCTCTTACAGCGTGAAAAGTTGTGATGAGTCACTGTCAAGGATAAAAGCAAGTTAGTTTCCTTTTTCTATATAAGCACTAATGAGGGAAATAGGGGCTGACCTCCCTAACCTTTCTCATATCCTAATAGTTAAGGCCCTCATATTCTCTTTTCTTTCTATGCAGCTTGTTTGCTTCAGCTCCGGGTGAATTGGTTGAAAGTAATTGTTGAAAATTAATATTTTTATTATTATATTGTCTATTTTGTGCTTTATAGGAGTTTTGCAAACTTTTATGTGCACATGCTTGTAAGCATGTTTTTCTATCAAAATGTGTGTTGAGTAGAGGCTTTTGGTGAGCACTGGGTTGTATGAGCCTTATGCATTTCTAAAATACTTTCACCTTGAAATATAAACAAATGTAAAAAAGTGGAAAATAGTTTAGCAAATTATTGTAAGGTGAACACTCCAGGTAACAACTAACCTCAAGAAAACTAAGCTCAGCTCAAGAAACAGAATACTGCCAAAACCCCAGGTAGCCTTTGCATCTCAAATGCAACTCACTCCCTCTCCTTTAAAGGTAACCACTGTGCTCTGCTTCACAATTTTATCACTTACTAACATGTCCCCTATAGATCACATCTGCCTGTTTTTGAATGGCAATCATACGGTATACATTCTGATTCTGCCTTTTGTTTAGCATTGTTTCTGAAATTTATCTATTTTGTTACCTGCCGGCTATAATTCATCTATTTTCATTGCCGTAAGTGAACTACTGTCTTCATGAAATGAAATATATTTATCTATTCTACTCCTATTAGATGTTTGCATTGTTTCCAGTGTTTGGCTACTGTGAATTATGCTCTTCTGAGCATTTTTGGCCATGCATCGTGGAGCACATAAGCATGCATTTCTGTAGGTCATATATGTAGGAGTGGAGCCTCAGGCAATAGGGTATGAATATTGTAAACTAAGATAGTGGCCAACTTTTCCAAATTGGTTGTAATACTTAAACTCCACCAGAAGCAATTCATTAGAGGTCCATTTGCTCCACAGCATCATCAATATTTGGTAGTGCCGGACTTTTTAATTGTTGCCATCCTGTTATGTGTGCAAAGGTATCTTATTGTGAGTTGCATTTGCATTTCCCTGATAATTAATGAGCCTGGCACTTTTGTGTGTTTATTAGACATTTCATTTTCTCTTTTTTTAGTACCTATTTAAGACTTTGCCCACTGTTTTTATTGTAAATATTTTTCCTATTGGTTTGAAAAAAATTTTATATAATCTGCATGTGAATTATTTACTAATAATATACATTACAAGTATCTTCTCCTATGGCTTATTTTCACTGTTAGTAATATGTTTTGTTGTACAGTAACTCATTTTAATGTAGTATAATTCGCCAATGTTTATTTTCTAGTGCATTTTGTGACTTGTTTAAGAAATTGTTCTCTGCCTTAAGGTCATGAGGAAATTCTTCATTTATCTTCTTAAATCTTTATTGATTTACTTTTCACATTTTGCACAATAATCCACTCTAGATTTGTTTTTGTATATAGTATGATGCAGGGGACCAACTTCATCTTTTAAATATAAATAATCAATGGGCTCTGCAACATTAATTAAATAAAACTGTTCTTTTCCCATAACTGTGAGATACTGTCTTTTGTTCTATATGAAGAGTCTTATATACATGCAGGATCTGTAACCAAGCTCTCCTTTATTTTCCTCTAGTCTACTTGCCTTGCACCTATACCATATTACTTTAATTATAATTATTTGCGATATCAGAAAGAATGTCTTCCAATGGTTTTAATGATGGTGATGGTTTCAAGGCTGTATACTTATCTCCCAAATTGAGATGTATACATTAAATATGTGCAGGTTTTTATATGTCAATTTTATATCAATAAAGAGGTCAAAAGAAAGGAAAAAAAGAAAGAGAGAGAGGTAAAGAAAGAGAAAAAGAGGCCGGGCGCGGTAGCTCACGCCTGTAATCCCAGCACTTTGGGAGGCCGAGGCGGGTGGATCACGAGGTCAAGAGATCGAGACCATCCTGGTCAACATGGTGAAACCCCGTCTCTACTAAAAATACAAAAAATTAGCTGGGCGTGGTGGTGCATGCCTGTAATCCCAGCTACTCAGGAGGCTGAGGCAGGAGAATTGCCTGAACCCAGGAGGCGGAGGTTGCGGTGAGCCGAGATCACGCCATTGCACTCCAGCCTGGGTAACATGAGTGAAACTCCGTCTCAAAAAAAAAAAAAAAAAAAAGAAAGAGAAAAAGAGAGAGAGAACAACTCTTCCAACACTGCTCTTTTCAAAGCCAGTCTATCTGAAAGTTAGTTTTCTGCTGCTTACTCTTTACTCATAAGATATGTCCCTTTGTAATCCCAGTCCAAAATGGGCAGAAATTCACTATAGTAACCACCTTTTACATGTACAGAAAATGATTTAAATTCCTTCTGTCATTCTCTATCACAAGGTAGCACCATCAAAAGACAGAAGGTAAACAATGTAGCTCTGAATATTGAACACAAGACTCTGAAGACAGCTATGTTAAGAAAAATCAAGATAGCAAAAGGCTTAGAGCAACTTCAGAAAAGATGTTTGGAAAAAATAATTCAAGAAATGTTCTACTTTGGCTAATAACTTACCCAAACAACTGGCAATGAAACAGGAACCGAGAAGTAAGATGCAAACTATAGCAACAACCCAAGGAATCAGCTGGAAATACATGCCTCCTTCCATTAGGACTAAAAAAAAATAGAGATTAACCTCCTCTCAAAGACAAGCTGGGGAAGCTAATTCTACCAAGGAGCAATCTAAAAATGAAAGCAAACAACATATTTTAGATCTGGAAAAAGCGTAAATATTTTCTCCAAATAAATCGATTTTAGAGCTTATTGAATAAATAGGAAAGAAAAACATAAGGTTTTTGGTAATTTTGGAATAAAAAGAATTTTATAAGTAAGATACAAAATCCAAAAGCCATTAAAATTGATCATTTGGGTACATAAAAATTAAAACTTCTATATAACACAAACAATATTAAAGATAAGGAACATGTGAAAGAAAAGTCTGGTCATAGTATTAATATCCAGACTATAAAGAATTTCAGAATCAACTAGAAAACTAAGCAAAACTTTGAGCAGGAAATTTGCTGAAATTTTAATTTGCTGAAGTTATAAATAGATACTAATCAAACAAAAATATGCCCAATCAGGGAACTGTAAACTAAAAGATTGTGGTATAACTTTTCACATATCAGATTTTTCAAGTAAATTAAATACATGCAGCGTTGGCAAGGCTGAGGGGAAATCAGCATGCTTGGTGAGAAAATAAATGCTGCTGCCTGGACTCTAAAATTAGGAATGCCTTTTAGAAGGATCAAGTTAGCAGCATTTATCCATTTTGAAAGGTATTACATTTGCCACAATAATTTCAATTATAGGTATCTATCCTATAGAAATAATCGAACTTATTTATGTTAAAAGATATTCATGGCAGTACTTTTCAAAATAGAAAAAACATACTGGAATCTAATATTTGCATTTGTCTCATCAATAGTGGAAATTCTAAATTATGGTCACTTCACACAATGACATTCTATATAGTAATTAAATAAGCATGTAATCAGTATATATTGATGCAAGAAATCTCCAAGAAATATTGTTACCTAAAAAGGTAGTTTTAGGACCTTTGTAAAGTGTGATCCTAATGAAGTCTGCCATGGGAGGGTGATGAGATAAAGTTAAAATTTAATTTTAATTTATACATTTCTGCATTTGTTCTATATATCTATCAAAAATATTATTTAGTGTTATCACAATACAAAGCCACCTGTGTCACTTAAGACAGACATAAAATGGGACAATCAGAGCCTCTCATACACGATAAGCATACGTGTGTTTCCTACATCTTCCTTTTCTCTTTTGCCTTTAAAGGAATCTTCTCATGTTACCCTCTTTCTTTTCCTCCCATTTGTCTTTTATATATTTTCTCTCCCCTCTTGGTCCAATCTACATTGCATAAAGAAGTTTCTGTTATTTCACTGCATGTCCTTCCTCTTCACCAACATCACTTTTATTTCCTTCCACCTCCTCCTCCCCATCATCATCATCAGTCTTTAAAACTACCATCAATTCATATCTTTTAAATTTAGTTGTAATTCCATCTTTGAAATTGAAAGGAAAGAAAGTACTCACGTTTACTTTGGGGTTTTTCTAGCCCCATTGTATAATTAGTCTCTTGTTGTTCAATGGTCAGGAGGGCAAGGACTTGCTCTATTTTTTCCCCAGAGTATACTCCTGTGAATAGAGGAATATATTCAGAAATACTTGACAGTGAACACCAATGTTACATATTCTAGTGAGATTAGAAGGTTCCCAATATAAGAAAGTTAACTCAAAAGAAGAAGTCTTTTTGAAAGACTGGGGTTTCCTTTGATTTATTCCGAGAGATGAGGTAAAAAAGACAAAAAGGAAATTGAGAAAGCAATGCCCCAAAACAGTACAATCATTAGAAGAAACCCATGAGCATGTTGAGATCACCAGCTCAGTGTGTAATGTGGAATTTTCAATTTGTTTCTTTTCTTTCATTTAGACAAAAAATTTAGCAATGCCTTAAAAGAAACAATTGTCATGCCCCAATAAAAAGCTAAAACAGCTGAATAGGAACAGCTCCAGTCTGCAGTTCCCAGCAAGAGCGCACCAGAAGATGAGTGATCTCCACATTTCCAATAGAGCTACCAGGTTCATCTCATTGGGACTGGTTAGGCAGTGGGAACAGCCCGGACTTTTCTGGACACTGGTTCAGATACTAAATTTTCCCATGGTTTACACAACCCACAGACCAGGAGACTCCATCTGGCGCCTACAACGCCAGCACCTGGGTTTCCAGCACAAAACTGGGTGGCAGTTTTAGTCAAGGGGCAACTGGAATGCCAGTGAGATAGAACCACCCATTCCCCTGAAAAAGGGGACTGAGACCGGCAAACTAAAATCCACTGACTTAAAATTCTCACAACAAGCACAACAGTCTGAGCTCAACCTGAGAAGTTAGAGCTTGGTGGGAGGAGGGGCGACCACCATTACTGAGGCTCCCTAAGGGGTTTCAACATTGCCTGTATAAACAAAGCCACTGGGACGTTTACACAGCAGCTGGGCAGAGCCCAGTAAGCGGTTTCAACATTGCCTGCGTAAACAAAGCTGCTGGGAAGTTTACACAGCAGCTGGGGGGAGGCCTCTGCAGGCAGACCATCAAGTAGATTCCCTTCTTGCTGGGCAGGGCATCCCAGAAAAAAAAAGACAGCAGTCCATCAGGGACTTAAAAAGCCCCCACTTTCCTGGGACAGAGCACCTGGGAAAAGGGGCGTTTATGAATTCTGCTTCAGCAGACTTAAACATCCCTGCATGGCAGCCCTGAAAGGAGCAAGGATCCCCCAGCACTGTGCTTGAGCTCCGTTAAGGGACAGGCTGCCTCCTCAAGCGGCTCCCTGACCCCCTCCTCACCCCGTGTATCCTAACTGGGAGACACGTCATACAGAAGAGCTCTGGCTGACGTCTGGCAGGTTCCCTTTTTGGGACACAGCTACCAGAAGAAGAAACAGGCAGCAACATTTGCTGTCCTGCAGCCCCCGCAGGTGATTCCCAGGAAAGCAGGCGTGGACCTCCAGCAAATTCCAGCAGACCTGCAGCAGAGGGGTCTAACTGTTAGAAAGAAAATTAACAGAAAGAAATAGCTTCAACATCAACAGAAAAGATGTCTACTCAGAAACTCCATCCAAAAGTCACTAGCTTCAAAGACCAAAGACAAAAGACACAGAATGGCAAATTGGATTAAAAAAAAAAAAAAGTCAAGACCCATTGGTGTGCTGTGTTCAGGAAACCCACCTCACTCGCAAAGACACACATAGGTTCAAAATAAAGTGATGGAGAAACATTTACCAAGCAAATGGAGACTAAAAAAAAAAAAAAACCAGGGTTGCAATCCTAGCCTCTGACAAAATGGTCTTTAAACCAACAAAGATCAAAAGAGACAAAGAAGGGTATTACATAATGGTAAAAGGATCAATGCCACTAGAAGAGTTAATTATCCTAAACATATATGCACCCAATACGGGAGCACCTAGATTCATAAAGCAAGTTCTTAATGACCTACAAAGAGACTTAGACTCCCACACAGTAATACTGGAAGATTTTAACATCCCACTGTCAATACTAGACAGATCAACGAGACAGAAAACTAACAAGGATATCCAGGACTTGAACTCAGATCTGGACCAAGCAGACCTAATAGACATCTACAGAACTCTCCACCCCAAATCCACAGAATATACATTCTTCTCAGCACCACATCACATTTATTCTAAAACTGACCACATAATTGGAAGTAAAACAGTCCTGAGCAAATGCAAAAGAATGGAAATCATAACAACCAGTCTCTCACAGTGCAATCAAATTAGGACTCAGAATTAAGAAACTCACTCAAAACTGCACAACTACATGGAAACTAAACAACCTGCTCTTGAATGACTACTAGATAAATAATGAAATGAGGCAGAAATAAAGATGTTCTTCAAAACCAATGAAAAAAAAGACACAACTTACCAGAATCTCTGGGACACATTTAAAGCAGTGTCTAGAGAGCTATTTATAGCACTAAATGCCCCCCAGAGAAGCAAGGAAAGATATAAAATTGGCACTCTAATGTCATGATTAAAAGAACTAGAGGAGCAAGATCAAACAAATTCAAAAGCTAGCAGAAGACAAGAAATAACTAAGATCAAAGCAGAACTGAAGGAGATGGAGACACAAAAAAACCCTTCAAAAAATTAATAAATCCAGGAGCTGGTTTTTTAAAAAGATCAACAAAATAAATAGACTGTTAGCCAGACTAATAAAAAAGAAAAGAGAGAAGATTCAAATAGATGGAATAAAAAATGATAAAGGGGATATCACCACCGATCCCACAGAAAACAAACCATCAGAGATTACTACAAACGCTATGCATATAAAACACTAAATCTAGAAGAAATGAATAAATTTCTGGACACTTATACTCTCCCAAGACTAAACCAGGAAGAAGTTGAATTCCTGAATAGACCAATAACAAGGTTTGAAATTGAGGCAGCAATTAACAGCCTATCAACCAAAAAAAGTCCATGACCAGACAGGTTCACAGCCGAATTCTACCAGATGTACAAAGAGGAGCTGGTACCATTCCTTCTGAAACTATTCCAAACACTACAGAAAGAGGGAAGCCTCCCTAACTCATTTTATGAGAACCACATCATCGTGATACCAAAACCTGGCAGAGACACAACTAAAAAAGAAAATTTCAGGCCAATATCCGTGATGAACAGTGATGCAAGAATCTTAAATAAAATACTGGCAAAACGAATCCAACAGCACATCAGAAAGTTTGATCACACCCACCATGATCAAGTAGGCTTCATCCCAGGGATGTGAGGTTGGTTCAACATACACAAATCTATAAACATAATCCATCACATGAAGAGAACCAAAAACAAAAACCACATGATTATCTCAATAGATTCAGAGAAGGCCTTAGACAAAGTTCAACAGCGCTTTACGCTAAAAACTCTCAATAAACTAGGTACCAATGGATCATATCTCAAAATAATAAGAGCTATTTATGACAAACTCACAGCCAATATCATACTGAGTCCTGGGCAAAAACTGAAAGCATTCCCTTAGAAAACTGGCAAGGCCGGGCGCGGTGGCTCAAGCCTGTAATCCCAGCACTTTGGGAGGCCGAGGCGGGTGGATCACGAGGTCAAGAGATCGAGACCATCCTGGTCAACATGGTGAAACCCCGTCTCTACTAAAACTACAAAAAATTAGCTGGGCATGGTGGCGCATGCCTGTAGTCCCAGCTACTCAGGAGGCTGAGGCAGGAGAATTGCCTGAACCCAGGAGGCAGAGGTTGCGGTGAGCCAAGATCGCGCCATTGCACTCCAGCCTGGGTAACAAGAGCGAAACTCCATCTCAAAAAAAAAAAAAGAAAAAGAAAACTGGCAAAAGACAAGGATGCCCTCTCTCACCACTCTTATTCAACATAATATTGGAAGTGCTGGCTAGGGCCATCAGGCAAGAGAACGAAATAGGAAGAGAGGACATCAAATCGTCCCTGTTTGCAGATGACATCATTGCATATTTAGTAGACCTCATCATCTCAGCCCAAAATCTCCTTAAGTTGATAAGGAACTTCGGCAAAGACTCAGGATACAAAATCAATCTGCAAAAATCACAAGCATTCCAATACACCAATAACAGACAAATAGAGAGCCAAATCATGGGAGAACGCCTATTCACAATTGCTACCAAGGGAATAAAATACCTAGGAATACAACTAACAAGGGATGTGAAGGACCTCTTCAAGGAGAACTACAAACCACTGCTCAAGAAAATAAGAGGGGAGAGGAGGATCCAAGATGGCTGATTAGGAGCAGCTCAGGATTGCAGCTCCCAGTGAAAGTGGGAGTGGAGGGTGGGTGGACATCGCATTTCCAGATGGATTTTTATTGCCCACAGACCAGGAGATTCCCAGGTGGAGGAGCCCCACAGGTCACCAGCACGGCTGGTTTGGCCGGCAGGCTGCTTTGCTGGCGCCCCGGCAGTGGTTCTCCATACAAAATAAACGGTTCTGGGCACCTTTTAGCTGGTGATTGGAGCTCCGAGAAGGCAGAGTCACCCATTCATCTGATTAAAAATGGGACTGAAACAGGGAGCCAGGCCAGGAGATTTCCAGGTGAAAAAACACCGTGAATCTCAGCACTGCTGTTTCAGCTGGTGCAGTGGGTCACTGCATGGGAAATCACACAGATCCCAGCACATTTTCAACAGGCAACCGGAACACCTGGGAGAGAGTCTACTGTTTAACTAAAAAAAAAGGCTCTGAGGCAGGGAGCCAGGTGATCAGGCTCAGCTGGTCCCACCCCCACCAAAAAACAGCAATTGGAAACACACTGGGTTGAGAGTTTCACAGTAAGCACAGCTGAACCCAGGAAGGTCCAGCTCTGTGGGAGAGGGGTGTTCACCATTACTGAGGCACTCCACCACTACAGAGGTAGTCTGCCGTTGCAGAGGTAGCCCGCTGTTGCCAAGGCAACCCACCACGACAGAGACAGCCCACCATTACAGAGGTGGGCCAGCTTTGCCGAGGCAGTTCTAACTACACCCATATAAACAGGACTGCAGGGAAGTTTACACGGCAGCTGGGGGGAACCCACAGCAGCTCAGCAAAGCCTCTGCAGGCAAACAGTGACTAGGCTGCCTCCTCACTGGGCAGGGCAGCCCTGATAAAAAGGCAGCAGCACAATGGAAACTCATAAATAAAGCCCTAACTACCCGGGAGAGAGCATCTGGGTAAAAAAAAAGGGGGTGTTGTGAGTTTGGCTGCAGCAGACTTAAACGTACCTGCCTAGCAGCTCTAAATGAACAACAGAGATCACAGGTCATCACTGGAGCTCCTATAAAGGACAGACTGTCTCCTCAGGCAGCTTCCTGACCCCCGTATATCCAAAGAGTCACCTCATAAAGGAGAGCTCAGACTATTTGGTGGGTATCCTTCTGGGACAAAGATAACAGAAGAAGAAATTGGCAGCAACCATTACTGTTCTGCAGCCACTGCAGGTGATCCTCAGGGAAGCAGGGCCTGGAGTGGACCTCAGCAGTCCTACAGCAGAGGGGCCAGACTGTTAGAAGGAAAACTAAGAAACAGAAATAACTTCATCATCAACAAACTGGATGTCCACTCAGAGACCCCATCTGAAAGTCAACAACTTCAAAGATGACAGGTGGATAAATCCATAAAGATGGGAAGAAACCAGTGCAAAAAGGATGAAAACACCCGAAACCAGAACACATCTCCTCCTACAAGAGATCACAACTCCTAACCAGCAAGGGAACAAGGTTGGATGGAGAACGAGTGTGATGAATTGACAGAATCAGGTTTCAGAAGGTGGGTAATAAGAAACTTCTGTGAGATAAAAGAACATGTTCTAACCCAATGCAAAGAAACTAAGAACCTTGAAAAAAGATTTGATGAAATGCTAACGAGAATAGACAACTTAGAGAGGAATATAAGTGAATTTATGGAGCTGAAAAACACAACATGAGAACTCGTGAAGTATGCACAAGTTTCAACAGCCGAATTGAC